TGTGGATGTGCACACACCCCTTGGTACTTGCTGAGTCAAGTCAGTCTGTCTATCTTTCTGCATTGAGTCTCTTCTGTCCTAGGTCATAGTACTCTGTGGATGAAGGATAGGGCTTGGATGACGAAACCCTAGTCTGACCCTGTAGGGCTGAGACTGTGGCTGATCCAACTTTCCAGGGGGGCATAACCCTCCCAAGGACCGGTGCTGACCGGCTGGAAACGGTTGGTAGGACTCAGTGGGCCTGAACGGCAGTTAGGGCTGACACACCAGGCAGTCTTTAAGTGTTGAGGGCCTGTTTGAACCACTCCCCTACCGGACCAAGTAAGGCTGAGGATCTGTGTCTGACGACTCGACTGTCCCRGAGGTCAAACCCTCCCAAGGACCGGTACAGACCGGCGGGCTGCTCAGTGTGGCACAGTAGGCCGGAAAGGCTGAGTTGTGGGCTGAAAGCACAGGCAGAACCAAGCTGATCACGTCGTCCTGTCTGCGACGTTAAAGAATTCTTGAGGAGTTACGGGGGATCTCCTTAAATGCCTCCTGATCAGCCACTGGTTCAGTAGTGACAGCCATAGTTAGGTCTAGGCTAAAGACCATAGTTGACAGGATCCCTGTCCGGATTCTGTGAGTCTTAAATTGAGTTCTAGGTTGTTAGTCAGTGGTTAGAGTCTACGTGGTGAGGAGTGGAATCATCCTGATTGTGCACCTATCACCATGGTTGAGACTCGTAGTGGGAAGGAGACTAGCCCCTATAGCAAGGAGCAGCAAGAAAAGATGGCCGCCTTAGTCAGAGAGAACAGGGAGAGAAAAGAGCGTGAGAAGCAAGCGAAGCTAAAGGCTATCGCAGACGAGCAGGCGGCGAAGATGAAGAGGTTGGAGGAGGAGATGAAGAGAGTACAACAAGAGGAAGAAAGAAGAAAAGTTGTTGAAGCAGAAGCGGCAGCAGAAGAAGAGAAAGAGAGAATGAGGATTGAGAGTGGAGAAGGGAGCAGTGGTGGCACGATGATGAGGGAGACAGATATTGAGATGGAGAAGAAGATCAGCGAGTGGGTCGCTAATTTATCGTTGGGTGAAGAGGAGGAGGCAGAGTCCTATGTGACTGACGATGAGAGGGCTGCGCTAGCTAGTGAGCTAGCAACAATGACAGATCCTATGGAAAGGCGAGAAAGGGAGGAGGAGCAGAAATTGGCATGAAAGTTGAGGATGAAGCGAGAGAAGAAGAGGAGGAGAGAGGAAGTAAGTAAAATGACTGCAGAGGTAGCGAAGGTGCAAGCGTACAGGCAGGAGGTGTTGGCCCAGACGGATGATAAGGCCAAGTGGGACAAGGTACTGGGGTACCTGGAAGTGTTGAGCAAGGCCTGGATGGAAGAGCGCCAGGCTAGCTGGAGCCAAGATGTAGCCTTAAGTGCCATGCGGTCAGGGTTTAGAGACTTTGCGCGCGAGATCGTCACCCATATTGGGGGCGAAGTTAAGCAATTGAGAGACAATGTAGGGAAGTTTTGTGAGGGCGCCATTCGGGGTGCTAAAGCTGTAGCCGCTGTAGAGGGAGAGGCCAGACCCCGTAAGGACCCAGTGAAACTTAAGTTCCCAGATGCGTACGGGGGAGAGAAGGAAGAAAACTTTGACAACTGGGAAGCCAGTGTCAATAGTTATATTTACTTACATCACATCCTGATTGAGGAACAAGTCCTCGTGGCCTTCCAGGCCCTCAAAGATGAAGCGGCTAGTTTCGCCAGGTCTCTCGCGCGTACAGCCGGTTGTGAAAACAACCTGGTTGCATATTCCAAAGTCACCCCTCTTTCCCAATTCCTCAAGTTCCTCAAGGAGCGTTTCGCTAACCCAACGCGAGGCATTAGAGCCTTTGACAAGCTGCAAACGATCCACTCACGGCAGTGGAGGAGTGTTAGGCCACTCAAGGGTACCATGGACGACTTAGTGGCCGTCCCGGACCATGGGGTCACTGAGACCCAGTTGGTCCAATTGTTTTATCGTGCCATACCAGAGGCCCTGCGTGGGCACTTCTTTGACAAATCTCAGCAGGTTGGCATCACATATGATGCATTCAGTAGGGAAGTCGTCCTGTATGAGTCAAAGTCTATGCCAATTACCACCTTCTGGCACAAGGACTTGGAGAAGGGGAAAGGGTGGAAAGGGCGTACCATCTCTGGCCAAGTCAAGGCCAAGGATCACATGATCCTTACCTTAGAGGAAGGTGGTACTGATGAGGTCCCATACAGTCAGATAGAGTGGGGCCTCGAGGATGATGGCAGTAGTGTGGGGCAAGGGAGGTCCTATGCTGTTGTCGCGGCTGGAGGGAGGCCGCAAGGTCGAGGTGGAGGCCAGGGCCAAAGGGGCCATGCCATGGGAGGCCGAGGACCGGGCGCACAGGGGGTTGGCGGCCAAGGAAACCGCCAAGCGGGAGGTAGGGGTCAAGGTCCCTCGTTAAATCGCCAGGGTAATTGGTCCCCACAGCGAGGAGGTGGAAGAGCACCTCAAGGAGGATGGCACCTAGGCTTGCCACAGGGCAGGCCCTTGGAAGACTTGGGCTTGGACCAGCGAGTATGCCAGGAACGCGTGAACATGGGTCAGGGCGTATTCTGTGGTGACCCGGCGCACGTAATTAAATATTGTCCTAAGTATAGACAGGCCCGTTGGGCTGCCCAATAGTCAAAAGGCAGCCGCCGGTAGGGGTTGCAACTGCCCCTACTTCAAGGTCATGTGGAGAAGTGAGCGCGCGCGAACAGGACACTCCCAACCCACATGAACCTATGGCAGAGGTTGCAGGCCCGTGCCTAGCTAGTTGTCCAGAGACCGCCTGTGTTAGCGTCTCTTTAGGCACGTCCCTCACAGGTGTGGCAGAAGAGTTAAAGGAGAGGATGCCAGCCTGGGCCAACATGAAAAGGGAGAGTAAGGGACAACTGATTTTGGTAGATGTAGAGGTGTTTAGAAGTAGAGTATGGGCCCTTATAGACTCAGGGGCTACCCGTAGTTACATTAGCCGTAGGGCGTTGAAGAAGCTGAGGCTAGGACTAAAGGTCCAGAAGTTAGTAGACCCCATAGTCAGTGTCCTCGCAGACAACCGCACGATGCGAGTTGAGGACTACGTAAAGGGAGTCCAGGCGTACTTTCGCCTAGAGAAGAATGGAAAAGTGGAGAAAGTCCTCCCTTATTTGACTCTCCTCGTACAGGATGACCTTCCTTTCGATATAGTGTTAGGAATGGATTGGGGAGAGGCAGCAGGGGCCACACTCCATTTGAAGAGCATGAGTGTAGGCTCCCTAGTTCGTCAGGCGAGGTTAAGACTGCCCGCTTGTTCCATGTGTCTGGTGTAGACAACACCTTGACACATTGTTGTCTCAGTGCTCCCGCGTTCGCGCGATTAGTCAAAAAGGAGCAGTTAGAGGAGCAGGTCTTTGTAGTGTATGTTAGACCTGTCACCGAGGGCAAGGAAGAGGTAGCTTCCACGGATCCAACCATAGTCAAGTTGCTGGAAGAGTTCAAAGACCTGACTGAGTCGCCGACAGGGGTAGTGTCGCGACCCATCCAGCACCGGATAGAGATAGAGCCTGGCAGTAAAACTCCTAAGGGTGCAGTCTACAGGATGTCCCGTAGAGAGTTAGAGGAGCTCCGCAAGCAGTTAGATGAGCTCCTAGAGAAAGGTTGGATCAGGCCCAGTTCGTCTCCTTTTGGAGCACCAGTCCTGTTTGTCCCAAAGAAGGAGGGAGAACTTCGTATGTGTATAGACTATAGGGGTTTGAACGCGATTACTGTGAAGAATGCTGAGCCACTGCCCAGGATAGACGATCTTCTAGATCGGGTGCAGGGTTGCAAGTATTTCTCCAACATAGACTTGAAATCCGGATACCATCAGATAGAAGTCCATCCTGATGACCAGTACAAGACTGCGTTCCGGACTAGATACGGGCACTATGAGTTCATAGTGATGCCCTTTGGACTAACCAACGCGCCAGCTACCTTCCAGCGTTGTATGAATGACCTGTTTAGACCGCGGTTAGATAAGTTTGTAGTAGTCTATTTAGATGATATCCTAGTTTTCAGTAAGACCCTCCAGGAGCACCAGGGTCATCTGAGGCAGGTCTTGGAGAAGCTACGAGAGAGAAACTTCAAGATCAACGCAAAGAAGTGTGAGTGGGCCAAGACACAAGTTTTGTACTTGGGCCACGTGTTGGACAGAGATGGCATTAAGCCCGAGGACAGCAAGATAGCGGCGATTAGAGACTGGCCGACGCCCCGCACATTGACAGAGTTGCGGTCGTTCCTAGGCTTAGCTAACTACTATAGGAAGTTCGTGAGGAACTTTTCCACTATCGCCGCCCCCTTGCACAGACTGCTAAAGAAAGAGGCAATCTTGCAATGGGACAAAGACTGTACGTCTGCGCTCAAGAAGTTAAAGCGCGCGTTAATAGAATATCCCGTCCTCAAAGTAGCAGATCCGTCCTTGCCATTTGTCATTACCACGGACGCAAGTCAATATGGGATAGGCGCCGTGTTGCAGCAAGACGACGGCAATGGCTATAGACCCGTAGAGTTCATGTCAGCGAGGATGCCCTGTGAGAAGGTTGTTACCTCCACGTACGAGAGAGAACTCTACGCTCTTAGGCAGACTTTAGACCATTGGAAGCACTATCTGCTTGGGAGGCACTTCAAAGTGTATTCTGACCACGAGACACTTCGTTGGTTAAAGACACAGGCCAAGATGACACTTAAGTTGACTAGGTGGGCCGCAGAGATAGACCAATTCGACTTTGAGCTCAGGCCAGTGAAGGGCAAATACGACGTAGCTGTGGATGCTCTGAGTAGGAGATCAGACTACTTTGGAGCTGTAGTACACTATCTGGATATAGGGAGAGACCTGCAGGAGAAAGTGAAGCAAGCATATGCGCAGGACCCTATCTATAGCGACCTCCTAAAGAGAGTTAGAGAGGTCCCAAAGATTGAACCAGATTACCGCACTACAGACGGGTTGCTGTTTGAGAAGACTAATGTGTTTGACTGCCTGTGCGTCCCCAACAGCGAAGGGATCCGCAGTTTAATTTTAGGGGAATGCCACGATACTGAAGGGCATTTCGGTTGGCAAAAGACACTAGCCAATCTGATGCGTGCGTATACCTAGCCAGGGATGAAGAATGACTGCATAGAGTATGTCCGCAGTTGTAAAGTGTGCCAGAGAAATAAGTCTACTACACGCGCGCCCCTAGGTCTTCTCAGACCCTTGCCAATTCCGGATCAACCGGGAGACTCCGTGTCCATAGACTTCATGGACACCCAAGTCAAGAGCAAACATGGTAAGAGCCAAGTCATGGTCATAGTTGACCGTTTTAGTAAGTATGCAGTTTTTGTTCCCTTGCGTGCAGAGGCACGTACAGATTTAGTGATACAAAAGTTCTTTGACTTTTGGGTTAGTGAGAACGGAATTCCATTGTCAATAGTTAGCGATAGAGATAGTCGTTTCACCAGCCAGAACTGGCAAGAACTCATGCGAGTGTACGGATCTAAGTTGTTAATGTCATCTGGCCGGCATCCAGAGACAAACGGTCAGACAGAACAGATGAACAAGATCCTACAGCAAGTTTTGCGCATGTACATTAGACCAGATCAGATTAATTGAGATGAGATGTTGCCTAAGGTAGCTAGTGCATACAACAACAGCGTGCATCTATCCACCTGCTGCACTCCCAATGAGTTGCACAAGTCCTTTAGACCACGCAGACCGTTCGAAGGACTGAACCCGGATCAGATTCACAGATGACTGCCCGGTACCAGGGAGTTTGCAATACAGCACGAGAAAGAACTAGCCACTGTTGTTGAAAACCTCAGGAAGGCCCAACATAGGATGATAGAGCAAGCTAATAAGCACCGTCGCCCGTCGCAGTTTCAGGTAGGGGACTTAGTCTGGGTTAAGGCTAAAGAGTTTGCACCTGAAGAAAACATCTCGCAGAAGTTACTGCCCGCATATAGAGGACCGTGGCCAGTTCTAGAATTCAAGGGCGGAGAGGATGGACCGTCCTATAGCATTGAGATTCCAGCACACCTCCACACGTACCCTGTGTTTCATGCTTCAAAGCTGCTGCCATGTGTCACAAGTCAACAGTTCCCTTCGAGAAGATCCATGATCCCCCCTGATATGGATGGAAGTTATGACATTGAAGGCATTGTAGATGAGGATGTGTTCAGAACAGGAGGTAGAGGTCGTCCCCAGAAACAATATAAGGTCCGTTTTGCTTATCAGGAACCGGAAGACGACCGTTGGTTCACGAAAACAGAACTTCTAGAAACCGCTCCCGACATAGTCAGAGCCTATGAACGTGACAAGAAAGGTAAAGGTCCCGCCTTAGACTAAAATGTTCTCGGAGGACCTCGAATTTAGGACGGCGGGAGTGAAACGGTTTTCACCTTTTAGCAGTAGCGGATGCAGTACCCAGGGTTCGATCCCTAGACCTCACCCTACCTATGTACAGTATCTGTATAGATCCCGAGAATTGAACCTGTGACCTGTGTATTCGCAGATAGTTGGTAGGTCTGTCGTAGGTCCATAGGCAGCAGGGGTTCGATCTGTAGGTCTATAGCGTAGAAGTCGTAGTGAGTTCCGGAAGCTTAGCTGTAGACCTTCTAGAAGGTAGGCAAGTGGGCAAGTGGTCAAGTGGCGAGGCAAGTGGTGGACTAAACCGCAGTGCAACAGCAGTACAACATCGGTAGGATAGCGGGGAGTCCACAGTCAGTCAGCGGAAGGTCCAGTCAGTCCCAGTCCGGTCCAGCAAGTACCACGGGGGGGACTGTGAGCACCAAGGGCCGATGGCAAAGGGCAGACCAACGAGTTTC